CTCTGCTGACACATCCCCAGCCAGTCAGGAGGCAGCTCCCCCAGAGCCATCTCCAGCTGACACTTCCGGATGGCCTGGTCCCCAGAGCCACAAACAGGGTCATGGACAGAGCCACTGGGCACTGGGCGGGTGTCCGCAGTGCCCAACTGCCAGAGCTGGGAGTCTCTCTTCCTATCAACCACCTATGGAGTGTGAAGAGAGACTCACCAGGGATGAAGGTCTGGGGGCCGTGTGATTCCTCTAGTCAGCAGCCAGTGGTGGGAAGGGCACAGGTGAGAGAGAAACAAGGCCTCCTCTCTCATGCCAAGTCAATCCAGATGACAATTCTTTACTGCTGTTGGGTCAAAGCTGGGTGATGAAACCCTTACACAAACAACTAGGTTGGCAAGACACAGAGGACAGTAACCTGGGAGGATGGGACATCTACGGGTGGAGGAGGCAAGCACTTTCTTTAGAGGTTCACAAAATAATTCTGTCTGGCAGAGACCCAAACTCCTGCTCACAGCAAGGTCAGCTATGAAATCAGACCGGGTTGCTCAGGGCTTTATCCAGCCTGGTCTTGAAAATTTGCAAGGACAGAGACTGCACGAGCAATCTGGGCCCCGTTCCACCTCCTGACTCTCCTCACAGTGTGAAATCTTTTCTTTATGACCAGCTTGAACCTCTCTTATCTCAACTTATGCCCACTGTCACCTGTCCGCCCCCATGCACCACTGTGGCTTCCTTGGTACAGTCACGGCCACCGCACACCCGGAGCCCCCAGCTGCCCTACGCTGAGCTGCAGTACCTCGGTGAGGCGGTAGCACTGCTCCGCTGTGCACTCCGCTTTACTGGTGGGGTTGCTTAGGGCAAACACGATGGGTCTCTCATTGAAGGCTGCCATGGCCTTCAAAATCTTCTCAGTGAAAGCTCCTGCAACGGCTGCAACACCTAAAACAACAACAGCAGAGTGAGGCAGTGCTTTCCGACTGTCTGACTTCAGTGCACTGGGCTGATCCCTCTTGAATGCCTCCACTGGCAAATGAACTGTGGGAGGGAACAAGATCCACCTCTGGAGATGCAGGTGGGAGTGTTTCTTAGAATCAGAGAATGGTTTGGGTTGGAAGGGATCTTGAAGACCATCTAGTTCCAACCCCACTGCCATGGGCAGGGACACTTTCCACTAGACCAGGTTGCTCATTATGTTGAGATGAAAAGCCTGACTCAAAATAAAGCCCTCTGCTCCTCTGGGCAGAGTGGGGATCAGTGCTTAGGCCACTCTGGCTGCAGCACTTTGCTTCCCAAAGACCTGCCGGAGCTGCCTGTTGTCATCCTCATCC